GGCCGGGCTGGAAGGCCTGAGTTGGCCCTCACGGGACACCTGGAGAGCGGCGGGTTTTCCCTAGAGCCTCGGCTCTTTGCTTTTCGTTCCTGCTCATCTCGGGTCCTTTAGAGACTCGAGCCAAACCCAGGAACGTCGCCGAGATGCTCCGGGCTCTGCTTGGGGCAAAGCAGCAGCAGCGGCCTTCGGCACCCTCAGTCCCCTGCCGCCACGGTCGGTTCTCCAGGGGCTGTTCCGAGGTTGGTTAGACCTTACGCCCGGGCGAGCCCGAGGGTCCTGGGGAACGCTGCTTCCTCTTGGAGACAAGAGACCCATTTTTCTTCTGCAGTCACAGTCCTCTCTTTAAAGCTCTGTAAGGCTGGTGGGTTTAATCGTTACAATGAATAGATTTAAGGCCAGGAAGGACCGTTAGAAGATGACACAGGCTATATCCTACTTTCCCTGTCTTGAGCTCAGTTACAAGCTATGGGGAGGGAACTTCTATCCCCCAAGAAAAGGCCAGCCAGCAACCTACACGTTTCTCAGAGATACCTTCAAATCTTTTGTAACAAGACAAGCTCCTACTGAAATCCGTAAGCTTTTTCTCAAATTTATGATCAGTGAAAGCGGTTACTGGTGAGAGTTAGGCTAACGGTGTAAACCTAGGGGAAAAAAACCTGCATTCTACCTTAGTCCTGCAAATTAAGTCCTCTCAAAATCTGCTTTGGCTCACAGCAAGACAGAGCTCAAATGCACATAGCTCAAGACAGACCACAATCACTGGCTGCTAGGTGCATACTTAGAAGAGTGCTCCCAAATAAATCAACAAATGACCTTTATTTGGTTCCAAACCAGTCTGAAACGTACAGAGCAGGCCCCTCTCCTGTCACCCCCAGAGGTGAAAATAACCACAGGTACATGCAGAGAAATAAAGCAGAACAATAAACTGTCCAAGAACTACCTCAGGAACACTGCTAATTTTTTTTTTTTTTTTTTTTTTTTTTTTTTTTGGGGGGTGTGTGTGGTAATGCAGCAACTGAATTTCATTGAACTCTGTGGTGAATCTAGCGACAGAAAAACCACACTGGCCAGAGGTTATGCTCGTAACCACTCCAAGTTGGCCAGTTTCCACATTTTTATGCCAAACCATGACACGCAAAACAGAGCAAATGCTTTTAGGTATTTTCACCTCAGCATCCCTTGCAGCTCACTGCTGCTGGCAGCAGACTTGCCTGCTTGCAATTACATTAGTTACCCTTACCAAGCACACGTTCTCCAGCACATTGCTCCCAGAACAGCCGGCCAGAGACAGGAGGGAAGGTGGCAGAGAAACCAACTGGCCCGTTTAACGGTATATCTGCAGGCGTGATGATGTGAACAGAGGTGCCCAGCTCACAGGCTAGTGCCCTAACCATTAATTAAGTCTCCCTTTTTAATGTGCCTACACAGGCAACAGGAACAAATTAAAATGGCACAGAACCTTCTGAATACTTCTAATTTTAGCAAAGGGCTGGATCAACAGGAGCATCCAGTAGACCCACATCTAAAACCTGAAGATCAGACCTGTGCATTTCAGTGGAAGGTGGTTTGTTTTTTTTTTTGTCCTGGACTAAACTGCAGTCTAGGTTCTCTGTGGACAGACCATATGGAGACTGGACGAGGCAGGTTACTGTGGACAGAGCTGGTGAAATACCAGCATTTAAGCCTGCTTTGTATCTCCCCTGAAAGACTCTACTTTCTATTCCACATTTTATTGCCAAACTTGAGGCATTTGGACTAAAATTGCCTATGGCTCATGTCTGTGGCAGCAGATGTCTCTTTTCGGTTGCAGGTTATGTAGCTCAGATATTAGGGAATGACTACAAAAGTAATTTGGTCCACATTAAAAACTCTGACAATCATTCCTTTGGAGTATGAAAGAGGGATCTACAACCATTGACACTGGCCTAAATCCCAAAGAATGGTGTGGAGCTAGTAGGAAGTAGCGACATCAGTTGTCTTGTCTGGTCAGATCTTGTCTTTCACAGCATCGTGCAACAGGCCAAACCATCATTCATTTCAGATACCTCTCGAAGAAGAGTAGCTGCGAGACCAGCTGGAGGTGGAATTCTGGGAGAGCAGTGAGAGCTCCTTGTGCATTTGGGGCATTGGGTTTGGGTCCCATGAGCCAAAGCCAACTGGGCTTTTCAGCTTCATTTCCAGGAAGAGGAACTGAGACCAAATATTGTCACCAGGAAGCATGCCAGAAAGGACAGAGCATATGCACCAACCTTTCTGCTTTTTAGTGACACAGCACTACCGACTGTGTCCAAATCTGTGCTCTCGCCTAAAATACAGCCTATGTTCTTTCCACTTGGAAGGTGGTTTAGGAACTAAAGTTAGTAGATAGACAGTTTTAAAGGCTGAATTACTTGTATAAAGGACAAAGAAGCTCTGCAATTTCCTCTATGTAAACTATTCTATTTAGCAGGGGGCGGGGATAAGTATCTCTTTCCTCCAGAAGGAAATCAAAGCCAGAAACCTCTTAAGGGCTGGACATTCAAAGACAAAAAAAAAAAATTAAAAGTAAAAAAAAAACCAAAACAACTAATTAGTGGGAAAGTTTTTGAAAAGTTCTCGAGTAAATTAATGGAAGAGAGAGGCATCATTGTTCATGTGACAGCAAACACTTCTAGTTCTAGCTGAAGAGTAGTTTCCACTGGCTTCACAGAACTGAAATTCTCATTTTGATATTCATCTCAAATTTGGTGAACCTCTTCCATTCGTACCTGGTCTGACCTCTGCTGCAGAGTTTGGTTTTGACTTCGGCCTTTGAGGAGAGGCAAAGAGCAGAAGACACTCCATCCATTTTCTCAGAGTTGGCCTTGGTCATTAGCACAAGAATCAGTGCTGTGAATATGCAGAAGAGGAGGAAATTCTGTGTCTTAAGGGCGTTGAATCTGTTAGAAACCCCTTGAATCTGGGCTGAAAAAATAGTAGTGCCAATAACACTGACTGGTGAACATGCTGACAAATGGAAAGGCTCCCCGTGATCGGTCCAGGTGGGATGGAGAACCATATAATCAAGAACTGATTTGAGATAAACTTTTGTTTCCTTAACGCCGGTTCCTATGGCCATGACCAGGACCATGGTAGCAGCAGGTAAATCTTGAAATAAAGGAATTGGTAAAGAAGGAGGACAATGTCATGTGTTTCCTCCCAGTTGTGCTGTGCCTCACATCATACAGTGATTTTATTGCAGAGACATTCAGAACGTCAGGCAAAGCTATGTGAGGACACTTGTGTACTCCACATCCTTAACCAGGTTTATCAGCAGAGCTCCTGCCTTCATACAATTCATATCTGTGCTAAAACAGTTCAGTGGCTTGAAAAAAAAGGCTCAATCGTGCTACAAATTTCCAAGCAAAGTACCAGCTTTTGCAAGAACCTAGTGTTGCATGGCTGAGATCCCACAAATTATCTTTGTTTTGTTTATAATAATCATCAAGAAATGTAATCTTATTACCTCACCAGTTTGAGATTGCCCCCTTTTAGCATACCTTAGTTTTTGTGGGCGTAGCATCCAAAGGCTGTTGTGTGACATAATTCAGGGGTACTGGTGGCTCACGTAGCCCACAGTTCTGAGTTTTATGTTGTAAGAGCTGGTGGGGATGGTCTCATTCTGTCCTTGCAGATCTACAACATGTTTGCCCAGATTACAATATTCTCTAATGATCTGGCCCAGAAGTATTTCTGATGCAGGCAAAGTATTTGTGTGATCATTTATAAATCCAGCAATAGCTTCAGCAAATGCCTTTCTCTGTGCTCCCAAAAGGAAATGCCCTAGTTCAAGAATTAAAACCGCTCCATTTAGAAGTTAACCAAAACTTACCACATCAATACTAGAAAGCAACAAAGAACATCCCTAAAAAGAAAATGAAGTGCTTTCTTTTGAACGGGATACAGGTGATCATTGGGAAAAGAAAAAAAAAAAAAAAAAGGGGGGGGGGGGGGGGGGCGGTGAGCGTTGTTGCTTGCTTTGACCACGAGGTGGAGAGGAAAGCGCAGCTGGAGCCTGGACCCTGACCAAAGCCCTCAGAGGGGCTGCACAGCAGCAGCAGCATGAAGCCAACGTTTGCAAAGCCCTGCTCTCCCGGGGGCTGAGCCATAAATAACCATTGAGCAACTACTGAGCAGCATGCTCTGAAACACCCACGAGGGTAGCTAAAACCAGCGTCTGGTACATCGGTAACTGGGGGGGAGGAGGGGGAGGATAAGGCCCTCTGCTAGAGGTATGATGTACATACAGAGCCTCTTACAAGAGCTCTTGCAGAATGGCTAAAACAAAGGCAGGTAGCAAGTGAGAAATGACACAAAGGAAACAGGATATCATGCAGTCGTTCATGGCACTCTACCGCTTCAAGTAAAACAGGGTCTCAAAACACAGAAGTCTTCTGAGCTGAGGAGGAAACAATCGAACACTGAAGGACACTTAACACCAGCTCCAGGGCTGTGCTGGAGGTTGATGGAGAACATCCAGGTCCAACAGCTCAGCTGTTCAGATCAGCTGCCTGGGGCACACAGTGGTGCTCTTGCCACAATATCACCGTGCTGTTCGGATGCAGCTCTAGTGTCAGACTGAGAGTTTGAGCTTCCAAAAATAAAAACACCCATCAACTGTCCCCCTTGTCAAATCGCTCACATACAACCTTTCCATTCTTCATAGTCCTGCAGTAAGTTGCTGTGCTGTGGCCAGACCATAATCCAAAGACTCAAAACCCAAAAGTCTAAGTAAAGAAATACAAACATGATTTTCAGACATCATTTCACTATCAGAGAGCAAGCGGAATCTTTAGCAAAAAAAAAACCCCAAACCCCAAAACATCAGGCCTCACCCCAAAGATAACTGGACTAGATTGCATCACATGCTGTAGGGAATTATCCCTTTCCATTTATCATGAGTTTTCCTGTCTTAGTTTCTAAAATGATCCTAGATTCTTCCAGGTGCCTGGCTGCATTGCTCCCAATTAAACCCCAAGTAATTAGGACCCTGAAAGCTTCTGATTTTCATTACTTGGACCATTATTTCTTGCTGCATCTGCCATTTAGTGCTGAGCTACATCACCCACAGATTCTGTGGCTGAAACTATGGTATGTCTCGCGCTGCAGGGATCTAAATGTGATCTTTGCATCTTGGACCTGCCGCTAAACATGAGAAATGGTTGTTGCACTGAACTGCCAAGCCACACAGCACTGAAGCAGAAGCTGCATTGACCAAGGTGCAGCTAGCTGTCTGAAATTGTTTGACAAAGTGACTTTCAGAAAGTGTAATTGCAGCAACAACAGCCAGCAGAGATGAAGATTCATTATATTGCTGCTGTTGGCTTTCCTGAATATACGAACTGTGAACACAGGTTGCCTGACTTTCTTTTTGAACTTACCCAGCTTTTCCTTCGAGTCACTAATGGGTGCTATGCCTCTTCTCAGTTAAATGGCACCCACTATTTGGCAGGAGGGGAAGAGACATGGCTGCCTGCGGACCAGTGATTCCCTCCATTTGTGGATGCCTTGCATCTATTTGACCACAGAACTGAAGCCCTTCCAGGCACATTTCAGCACAGCCATGGAAACACATAAATCTGCTGTGACAGTAGTTGTGGGGGGAGAGTTCTGTTCTTAGAACAGGCAAATAGTCACCAATTCATTTCAGCTGGGTGGCTTCAAAGTTTGGGGAGGCTAACATTTTTCTGATAAAATTAAATTCAGTGCATTGATTTCCAGGGAGGTTCATCTTATATCTAGGGAAGCTGTCTTTGCTGGTATAAGACAGCAGTCTTAATCACATGAGAAGACGGACAGTAGTAGCTTGGGGAAAGGTCTTTAAGAACCTTGTAAAAATTAAGGGACTCTTCTGGTTCTAAACAAAATCCTGCAGCTCACCACTGGAACAACCTTCAGTCTTCACTTGTGTATGTATGGGGGGCATATAGTACCAGAAGAGTTTGAAAAACAAACAAAACAGTGGTGCAAAAAAAAAAAAGCCACCTTGGCCTAACTGTCTGTAGATGTACTATTATCAGAGAAACAGAGCTGTAACATAAATGTACAATGTACCTATCTACCTTCCTTCCCTGCAGGGGAGAAGTGATTGCCAGTGTCTTTTAGAGAAAAGGTCTTAGGCTGTTAGGTATGTGGGGAAGGGTAGAGTGGGGACGAAAAGGAATTCTAAGAGATTTTTTTGAATATGTTGAACATCCTTTAAGTGGTAAGCTAAGAATATCCTTCCCCCAGTTCCCAATGATAAAATTCTTATTGCAAGATCAGAACCAGACCACACTGCTTAGACTTCGTGCAAGTTCTTCCGCAGAGTTTGTCTTCCCACGGTAACACTATGCAGAACGCCAATGGTCAGAAAGCAAATACCAAAACCGTTTCCTCTCCGTTCACCAATTCTCAGCACAGGAAGCTTTGTGCTAGGAGAACAGGTGCTAGAAGAACAACGACCTCTTTGTAGCTGCACTGCAGGGCTCCCAGGAGCACAGAAAGAGCAGTGACTCTGGCTGCTGAGGATCACTGGCAGGGGTTGACAGGGAGCTCACAGCAAGCTGGATGGTGCAAGAAACCCACATCATGCACAGACGCAAGAGCTACTTTGAAAGTTGTCAGGAAGACCATGTACACCATCGTTCTGCTCACCATCACTGCAGTTGCAGGAGCTACAGGTACTTCTGAGTACCAACTCTTTGTTAAGGGCAGAGAAGGAAAAGACAATGTATCAGAGTGATGTTTACTCAGTTCTTCTTTGGGACAGAAAAAAAATCTAGGGGAAGGGATCTTTACAAGTTGCTGAAAGGCCTTTTTGATGGAAAACTAGGAACCTGCAAATCAGAACATTACTAGCTGCAACTGTATCTTTTCCATTGTCAACCAATAAGATGTTGAACTTGGGCTCTTCAATGACTTGATGACAACTGGTAATGATTCTCTTGGAGTATGATACTTTTTGTGATAATTAACAGATTTATTAAATATGTTTGATGGGAGGTTTTCTGATCAGTCTGAGCACCCCATCAAGCCTTACTCTTAGGTATCAGTGACTTGGCCTGACAAATGAAGTATACTGGGATTTTACGACACTTGATTCAGTTGGAAGTTTTAATAAGACTTAATGGGAAGGTTCTTTCCCCTTTCCAAACTCAGTTAAACACTTAGAAAAGCTAATTCCAAAAATGCAGGATCTGAAAATGCAGCTATAATCCTTCTCTTCCCTACTCTACATTAATTATGCAAATTCTTGTTTGTTTTTCTTGTTTGTTTTTATTAGGACAGGTGAGGCAGGTCACAAGGTAGTGATCTTGAATCTATCAGGGATCTCTGCATCTAACAGCAAACAGGAATGTGTTTTCTTTCCAGATAAATGTCATACTCTACTATTTCATCTGCCACCACTATAATCAGGGAAATTGGTTCATCTAAGCTTTGGAGTGGCAGGGCAGAAATTGCCACTTGTACTTACCCTGATTAGGAGGGCTGCTTATATCCAGCACAAAAGTGGGGCGAATGTCTTCAAACATTCATTTTTCTGCTGTACTGGGCAGTGATACTGAGGGAAAAGCAACCTGAGAGATCTTCCCATACAGATGGGCTCTGCAGCTCATTCAGACTCTGCTTCCTGGTCATGCTATTTATCCAGTGTCCTAGGGAGAGGACCTCACAGAGGGAGTGAAAACAAGGACCAATGTATGCGAACACATCCACGAACCTGGAGATCTGTTCCCACCTAAGAAGAGAGACACAGCTCTTGGGCTGCCACAGACAGGGCCTCAAGCTGGCGTGTAACAGTGCAGACGTTTCTGTGTGAAGCACAGACCAGAACTCCAAGGCTATGAGTGACATCCTTGGGCACCTTCTGACACATCCTTCTTCTTTCTCTCCTTCAGGGAACAACAGCATGTCAGCGACAGTAGGTAACAGCTGTGTGCTCACCTGCCCTTCCAAACCAAATATAACTATGGTAACATGGAAAATAAGCCCCAAGGTTGGAGGCTCCTGCACCTTGGGCTACAGGGCTGATCAGAACAAGACAGACAGAACAAACTGCAATGACAGCATGAACTGGAAATTCAGACCAGATCAGGATTCTGCCCTTGAGATATGGCAAGTAGGAATAGACCATGAGGGAAACTACGCCTGTGAAGCAGTAGCAACAGAAGGGAATTTCCACACGACGTACTACCTGACCGTGCTAGGTAAGGGACTCCTTCCTCATTTTACAGTTCTCCAAAGGACCACATCTGGGCTTGGACATACAAAGCTCCTCGCCCCATACACCGGAGGAAGTATGCAGAAAGAAGAGGAGCTTTCTTGCTGGGATAAACTGTCATGCATTTCATTGATAGTAGCTCCATTTCTCCCTTCTCCTTATTTCCCAAAACTCTTCTCCCTGCTGCTGCCCCCTTTTCCACTGTCTAGTTAGAAACAACAGGTGTGAAGCAATTTCCAATATACCAACAGAGGATTCTGCGTATGCTTCCGGTTATCCTGTAGAATCAATCATTAATACCCTAATTTAAGAGAACTAAAGCATGTGAGAGTAACACTTCCAAGTGCTGAGATACTCTATCAAACATGGGATGTTCTTATCCAGACAGCAGGAATGGACCCATTTCCTCTTGCGCTGGCATTCCAATACATTTTAAACCATGTGTGTGATGGCTGCTTAGGACAAAAGCCTAATTCAGCCCTGTATTTGGGATAATTCCCTACTGCCATCTCCAGGGAAACCTCCTCTAATGGTACACGGCTGTGGTAACTCACCTGAATGGGGGAGAGTTGTGCAAAAGGAAAAAAGAGGCACGACCTTTGCCTCTTGTGTCTCTCGCCCATGCCGCTCTAATGGGACGGCACCTCCAACCTGATTCTTCTCTTTTCACTGTGTTCATTCTGGGTAGAGAACAAAAACATCCTATCCCAACGGTGGCCAACTAACTCCATGCATCTCCCCTTCCTGATGCTGTGCAGTGCCCCCAAGGCTGACCATGTACTGTGATGACCACGGGAACCCTGTGTGCAAGGCAATGGTGGGGAAGCCGGCTGCCCAGATCTTGTGGGTCCTAGAGAGCAACTCCACCCCCAAGGAAGAGGGCCATGACAACGGGACAGTGACTGTTCTCAGCACGTTCACCGCATACAGCACCAACGTGACTAAGACAACCTGCATTGTGTCCCACCCAGCTGGGAACCAGAGCATGACCATAGCCTGTCATCCCCCAGGTAAGCTTCCCTTTGTGTGTTCGGCATTCAAAACCCCATTCAGCCCTCTGTTCATGCACTAAGACAAACATCAGTAGCATTGGCAGGATTGCAGCAGGAACTGTGCAGCTGAGCTGAAGTTTTGAGTGGGAAATTTGTCAGGAGGGGGAAGGATAAACAAAAGTGCTGTCAGAACTGTAAAGTCCTTTGTGAAATTCTAGGAAAGGTGATGGATGTAGTGGTCTTCCCTTCCACCAACAGGGGGGAATGGAAAGGCAGGTTTATTCAGAAGTTCACAACACACAAAGATGTCAATGGTATGATCACCCAGATCTATGTATTGTAATCCAGCAGTACCATTATGTCTTGCTAGTTGTTGGATTACAGATATATTGTGACAGGAAGACCGAAAGCCAATTTATAGCTTCCAAAGAGTGGCTGGTAGGTGAAGGCTTTAGGTGGTGAAGTTGAAGACATAGCTGGGAAGTTGTGTGCAGTCGTATGTACTTCACCAAAGTACTCAGCTGGAAGAGAATCAGAGCTGAAATTTGATGGGATGCATGTGCAAGGCCTGCAACTGGACTATGGCAAATGGTGAGGAGGAGGATCTAATTAGTGCCCATAGAGCAAAAGACAAGGTTCCTCCATCAAGGGCACAGGGGGATGTTGTTTAGTCCTAGTTCTGTGCCCGGCACTGTATTCCAGCTAACTTAGCTCGTCCTCCAAAGTACAGCACAAAGAAAGCATTGTCTAGAAGATGCCATCCTGACAGAGGCACAGGGTAAACAGTCTGTGAGATACCTAGAAGAGCAACTGTTTCTCTAGGTAATAGTACATGGCTTCTCCACTGTGTCGTCAGCCTTGCTAGTTTCCTCGGCCTCCTGTTCCTGCTTGCTGTACTTCATTGCTACACCTTCTGTGATAGCAAGTATGTATGGGACATGATACACACAAACCCCTTTGGCCAGTCCTGGGGAAGTTTAGAAGGGCTTCTGATACTAATTCATGTCATGTGTGGTCGCCTCAGTCTGTCACGAACACACCAGTTCAGCACATGTTCATGGAGGTTTGTCCGAGGTCTATAACACCACAGCTGGGGCAGAGGGGGAGGGAGTCCATACATGAGTGTTAGAGACCTTCCTGCTGCCATACTTCTTTCAGAAGCAAAATTACAAAGGGAATGGTTAGTTTTTTCCACCCAGTTGAGGGACACGAACAAAGATTGCCAGGCTATGAAGATTAAAGAGGCAGCAAAATAACTTTCTGAGCTTGGAGCCAGACTTTTGGTGCATTTTGCCCTACTCAAAGGAAGCCAGGGAAGGCAGGGCCAATATAGAAATGCAGAAGTATTGCATGAGAGCAGAACAGGTCTGCTGTTGTAACTGCTCAGGAGTTCTGGCGGCAGTCTGGCAGCTTGGCCGATTACTTTATCTGAGCTAGCCTCTCTGTCACAAGGTGCAATTGCTGCCCAGAATTACAGTACAAACACCACAGAGGCAGAACTTACGACTGTGTTCAAGTCACTCGAGCTCCACGCTTTGCCGGGGCTCCTGGCAGCTCTCTGTTTGGTACCGGCTGGAGCACGGCCAGCTCTGGTCATGCTCACATGAGATCACAGATATAAAGCCTTACATTCTTTTCTACCAAATAAAGGGGAGGAATTCTGTTCTTACATTCCTAGAGCCCAAAACTGCATTCCCAAACAGCCTTGTCCTCACACTTACAGTATTGGTGTCTTGTTTCCTAGAACAATGAGAAGCCAGTACAAGCCAAGGAATCTTCCATCTGCAGAGCTGTCTGGGCCTAATTCTAACTCAGCACCTGAGCAGAGATGAAAGAAACTCTCAGTATGCCTCAGTCAGCAATGTGACATGCAGCAGGGACTTACCAGTACCAAAGTGTTCAGGAGAAAGAAGCAAATATCTGCAATGCAGCTGGTGTAACTGTGCGGAAACATGGCATGCAGGGCAGATCCTACCTGAGCCTTGTCAGCTCTGTCTTCCATCATCTCTCTAGTGCAACTATAGATGCTCTTATTACTCATGCAAGTATCATTTTTTTTTTTTATAAAACCAAATCTAACATATATGCAATAGGAAATTCATGTTGTATAAAATGAGGTCACTCCATTTCAAATACATTGTATTTAAGTATCATGTCTTATAGGATAAAATAAATCAGAAGAAATTTTCTTGCATACTAATGAGCAGCAGCCTTCTCGGGATAATCACACAGGACTGAAGCTAAATTTGAGCAACTCTCATTTTCACTATAAGAATTTTGAAGTGTTTCACCAACAGCTAGAAAAAAAGGGAGAGAGAGAGAATGCTTGAGCTTGAGTAGTTATTGCTCCATGAAGCACAGAAATTCTTACAATCTTGAGATCTAAGCCTCACACTCATTTACCTCTTCGCATAACCCAGAGAGCTGCAGCCCACAGAACACACAGCTCTCTAGTATTAATTTCTTTAAAAACATCTTACTGGTCCTATCACAAGGGAGTCCTTGAGTTTAATCTTTCATTCGATGACATACTGCCACTACTAAGCCTCTAAACATAGCTGTGCCTCTTCACTATTTCTTAACTTCTATTCTGAATAGACATGACTAGAGCTGAATATTACTATGCAGCCAAAATTTCAAAGGAAATGCAGGTATTTCAGACCCGCCTCACTCCTCCATGCTCAGCAGAAATCCACGTCTCACTGTTGTTACTGTACAGAAGACTCTATTTCAAACTGTAATATATCTGGAGACCTTTTCCACTTGCTACAGCCATTCAATTTCCTAAATCTCTGCAATGAGATGTTAATGATATTCCTACGAGATGTCGGCTTACCTAAGGGCAGAAGCGGGAAGGTACTGCAGGAGCATCTTTGCTAGGCATGCTACCCTGTGTTTGTGCATCTCACATGCCCAGGTTGCAGAGCTCTTAGGCCTTTCTATGCTCTTCCCAACCCTTCCAATCCTAGACTAAGTCTTTTTTTTTTTTCCTCCTTCTTTTTTTGCCATAGCTATTCAAGCATTTAATTTTTGGGGGTATCAGTTACAGATCTTTAGCTCTCAGGCAGCAAGCTGGGCTTAGAATTGGGGCATTAATATGTTAAAGAGAAGGTAAAACACCAAAGGCAAGGTACTAAACTCCTCTGGGCTTTGGCGACAATTTGAGAAGGGCAAGTCTGCATAAGTGTCCACAAACCTCAGCTGTTCTGAAGGCATCAGTGAATCTCAGCCAGATTTATTAGCTTTGTTGTAGTGCCTTGCACACACAGACCAGGTTTAAGACTGATAAGATAGGGCAATTGCCCAGATCCCCAGGCCAAAAGAATACCTGCCTAAGGCTCAGTTAGATAGCATTACAAGTGCAGGGAAGAGGAGAGGGTAGAGAACAGGGAACTCCACAGCTTCCACAACGCTGGAACACGATCCTGATCTTTGTTGTTCGTTCATTGCTTCTACCCATGACCGACCACATCTCAAGCTTTATGAGCCTTATTTCACATCTGAACCAGCTACTGAAGGAGCCAGGGCCAAACCTCACCTAAACTTCGGCAATAAAAAAATTAAGCTTTTCAGTCTCAGCACACTAACATATAGAATAGTTACCTAGCTTTATACAGAAAAGGAAATGCCATGTCACTGCACTCTCTCATGCAGCTTTTCTACCACTACTTTGCTGCCCCTCACCCTTTCCTGGTGCAACAGATAAACTGGTGTAAATCACTGCCTGGGGCCATTTCTGCAGAACGGCACCTGCAGGATGCAGACAATGATTCTGCTGGCACAGCACCATGAAACTGTTCCTTTCACATTTACAAACACAGCCCCATTCCATCCATCTGTTGTCACATATGGCTGTTTGGTCACAACAAAATCTGAACTCTGCAGAGCTGACACACAAAGCGAATGAACCCCGAGACAAGAGCTAGAGGAATAAACAATTCAGAGGCTCACAAAATTACTGCTAATTCTTTGTGGTAACCTAACTGCTTTATCAAAAGGCCAGCAAGCAGAAAACCACACTGACTTTAGTTGATATTTGTAGCTATCCTAGTAACTGAGTTTCCACAGTGCACATCACCTAACCGCAGGCAGGTTATACTCAGCTAAATCTCATCTCTGCAGCAGCTAAGTAGTTGAGCACCTACACATACAAACCTACACGCAAACACACAGCTTCTCCACCAGCAGTCTCATTTTATGTTAAGACCATCTGCAAAGCTGCAAATCTGCTTGGCTCTTACTAAGTATATTACAGACAAAGGGAGTACACAGAGAAGACTCATCTTCTTTTCCTCTCTTCACAAACTGCAGGGCAAGTCAAAATTTCAGAGATGCCAACAAGGTCATGCCCTAGGTTAGCAACAGCCCACCAGTGTCAGTGGTATTCAGGACGTGTGCTTGTCGAGCTCTACTTGCTATGTGTCTTTTCTCTAGATTGGTCAGGTCTCCAGGAGAGAGGAAAATATCTCACATCCTTTGTTGCAGTTTCCATTCAAATGGCTCAGAGTCTCTCTACCCTCCATCAGGGATAAAAGAAATCAAACTCACACACCAGAGTCCACAGGGTTCTGTAACCAGCCTTGCCCCTACTCCATGGTCTATTTACTCACAAATGCTTCTGCAGGAGGGAGGATAAAGCAACCTAAGCTTTCTACAGTCAGAGTTTCAGTCCAGTCTCCTAGGCAACTACCGGAGCAACTAAGAACATTTCTTCCTTTCTCTCACTGGACACTCTTCTTACTGGCACGTTCACCACATGATAACAACAGATTTGATTTCAATGTGCTAGATTGAGCTTACAGCTGTTTAGGTATTAATTGGCAGGCTTTTGTGTTTACCATGGGGCTTGCTTGCCTTACTGTATATTAGAGTCCAGTGCTCATTAGTGGTTGCTTTTGTTGCTTGCTGTACTGCTTACCATCTTGCACTGCTGTGCCTGGGAATATTTTGATAATGGCAATGGCCATGTGCCTGGGCTGGCAGATGGCCAGGGCATCGCTGCTGTTTCTGTGCTGCTGTATGGACAGGCTGGAACCCTGGTGTGAACTTGAGTTGAAGGGACTGTGACCTGTGGATGAGTCCACGTGGGAGCAGCACACCCTAAAGTGTCCGTGGCTGTGCATAAGTCCACGCCAGAGCAGGTATACCTCAAAGCATCTGTGGCTGTGGTTATGTCCATGCCACAGCAGGTATACCTCTGAAGGGACTGTGGCCCAAGGACGAGTCCACGCTGGAGGAGGTACACCTTGAAGCATCTGTGGCTGTGGATAAGTCCATGCTGCAGCAGGTACATCTTGAAGTATGAGTGGCTGTGCGTGAGGCCATGCTGGAACACCTGGATGTGTCTGTGGTTGTGGATAAGTCCACACCACAGCAGGTATACCCCTGAAGAGGCTGTGGCTCATAGATGAGCCTCCACTTGGAGCAGGTACAACCCTAAGGGACTGCAGTCCATGGATATGTCCAAGCCAGAACAGGGTAATGGGACAGAGTTCATCGCAGTGTTAAACCCTATGGTCTGGTCCAAAGAGACCAGGGGTGGAGACTGTAATGGATTTACCTTTAAATTGTTCTAATCCATGTTTTGAGTTGCATGTTAAGGAAGTACTATAGCAGGAACCACCCGAACCAATGGAGGACAAGCCTTACCAAGAAGCAGAGCAAGTGCAGCTGTGACCCAACCTGAGCCAGCTTTGGTGCCCAATAACTCCATGCAACACACCACCTCTCCTGTCCCGACTGACCACCATAACAGATGGAGCCCAAAGTCATGGACTAAATGAACTCAATGGACATTTTATGGACGTTTATGGACATTTTACAGAGGGGTGGTCAACAAGCTAAGGGAATGACATCTGTGTGTGTATATATCAAAGGATGGGAAGAGGGGTGGTGGTTAATGAGGATGTATTGGATAGTGTGTGACCTGAGCATGACATAAATGGTAGAGAATAAGGGGTGGAGAATGTGCTGGTTTAGGCTGGGGTAGAGTTAATTTTCTTCCTAGTAGCTGGCATGGGGCTATGTTTTTGATTTGTGCTGAAAACACTGTTGATAACACAGCGACGTTTTAGTTATTGTTGAGCAATGCTTACACAGCACCAGGGCCTTTTTTGTTTCTCACCCTGCCTCACCAATGAGTAGGCTGGGGGTGCATCAGACGTTGAGAGGAGACACAGCTGGGACAGCTGACCCCAGCTGACCAAAGGGATATCCCATACCATATGATGTCATGCTCAGCAATAAAATCTGGGGAAGAAGGAAGGGAGGGATGTTCAGAGTTATGGCATTTGACTTCCCAGCCAACCATTATGCGTGATGGAGCCCTGCTTTCCTGGAGCTGGCTGAACACCTGCTTGCCATGGGAATTAACAAATTAATTTCTTATGTTGCTTTGATTATACATGCATCTTTTGCTTTACCTATTAAACTGTCTTTATCTCAACCCATGAATTTTCTCACTTTTGCCCTTCTGATTCTCTCCCCATCCCACTGGGGGCGGGGAGCAAGCAAGCAGCTGGGGGGGCTTAGTTGCTGGCCAGGGTTAAAACATGACAGCAGGAAAAGATTGCTTGCCTTTTTACAGGATTTTTGTTTTTAAATATACCAGTTTTAAACTATTGTTCTCCTTCTCAAAGAAAAAAAAAAAATTACCAACCCCTAGTAGGGTGAAAAAGTTTTAATGAATTCAGAGACTGTACTAGCTTTTCTCTCCTCCTCTCCACCCCTAAATAAGAACTTTGTGGTCTGATTTACCATAAGACTGCTATAAGGCGTGGGGTGCCACAGAGGTGGAAAGGAACGGCCAGCGGAGGACATCTGCTTAAAGATG